CTTCTTTGAGCTGCGCTTTGGGCACGCGACAGATACAGGTGGCGTTGAAGTTTGTTTCTTTGGTCTGGATGCAGCGGAGGCAGCAGAGCTACATAAACAGATACGACTGTGAGTTTAATGAACAAAGCGCGAAGAAGGATGATTTGTATAGTTCAGGTACGCACCTTCTCATAACCTTGCTTCTTCCACTTCGCAATAAGCAAGGCATCCCCATAGTTATTTTTCAGCAGCCAGTCATATAGTTGTTTGGAAATGGCTTCTTTTTCGTAGTAGAGATCGTAGATGTAGCGGGATCCTGAAACACTTGTTAGATGCCGCGTTCATGCAAACCATCATACATCACAGTCCTGTATAGCGTAAAGGGAGAACATACGCGCATGGCTAATCTGAAATATCGGCCAGAGGACTTCGTGCCTCTTCTTGCCCTCATGCGAGGCGTTTTCTGCATCTTTCATCTTGTTGCTAAACTCGAGCAGGGTGTCTTCGATGTCGTCGAAGCCGTCTGGCGGGGGTTTACGGGTCCGCGAGGTGCGGATGGGAGGCATGGTGGTGGGGTTTTTGTTTATCTGAGAGCTGGATTGCTTAAAATGTCTGTCCGCTCACTTTCAAATGAAAGACGAGTGCTTCGTAGTAAAACGAGTGGATGTGGTGTGCGTGAGCTGGGGTATGTTTGTGTTGAATGTTACGAGTTTATGACACTGAAGGCGACGATGAGGTAAAGAGTATTTCTGCCACCAATCGCCGCTTTGATATCTTTCCCCGAAAAATTGGAACCAGCTTCATCGGTCCAAGCAACTGATTTAGACGAAATTAAATTTCTTGCTGAAACCCTTTGACAATAGTATCACCTTATATACTCGACTCTATTGGAAATCCATAATACCTTATTACGAAACCGGAACCAAATAATATCCGCATACACTCATATATACTAGTAGTATCCACAATATGGACCCCCAAATCGATGTCGGCAAGCTCAACGACGCGGATAAAAGAGAAGTCCAACAGTTCGTCGCGATCGAGGCGCAGAAGGCAGCTTTCCAGTCAAGTAAATAAATTTAAACCCCTTACTTTTATCCCATCTCCACCCTTTTATTCCGTCCTAAAAATTTTCATTCCGAAAAATACTGCGTACGAACGGGTCTCAATTCTCATCCCTTTCAGAAAGAGTCTCTCAGACCAATATACGCATTTACGTGAACTGACAATGCTTTCCCTCTTTCCCACCAGGCGTCCACCAACTCACCGACATGTGCTGGAAGAAATGTATCACGGGCAAAATATCCGGAGGAAACCTGGACCGTAACGAAGCATCATGCGCACAGAACTGCGTTGACCGATGGATGGACGCAAGTACCGCCGTGTTCAAGCATCTAGACAAACTGAGAGGGAACTAGCCATTGCTGCTTCTGCTGGTAGTGATGGTGAAGCTATGTCATTTGAGCTGGGGTGCAGAATTCAGTAGCTATATACCCGGGATGAAAAAAGATGGTGGCTCCAGCTTCGCTCGCCTGGGGAAAATCCTACGAATGAGTTTATGTTGGAATGTGATGTGCAGGGAATAGCGACATGGGGGGCTGCCATTGGGTTGATTACTGCTTTCTCTTGTGAATTGTACGATAGATAATGGGATGATGATCAATTGGTTTATATTAACATATATTTGACTTGGTGTCGATACGTATATTAAATAAATGTCGAGCAAGTGCCGTAATGTCAATATGTTTTCGACATGAATGGCCTACACGTGCAAAACACCTGTACTACTTGTCAAGCGCCATATGTTATTACTCACATCCAATCCAGTGTGAATCACTCCCTGATAATTCAAAAAGTAGAGGTGAAAAAAGGGAAAACATGGGTTTCATTCACATTTCAATGACTGTAGCATTTCTGAAGCCACCGAATAATTTTTTAAGATATAAAAAGAGAAATTTCACCCGCAACATCCCGTACCTGTAACAGAAGAGAGGAATAACAAAAAACCGCTTCAAACAATCGCCAACTTCGTCGCCGCAATGTCAAGAGCATCGACATCAGGGGTTAATCTTGCAAACGCCTTTTTCGTGCCATCGGGTCTGTTCAACAGGATTATCGTTAGCCAACCCGTTTTTCATCCCACCCTCCCAAGCAGATCAAAAATAGGGCCGCAGGCTCTACATACCTGATGAGGGTGTTAATCTTAACAGTGTCGACATCGTAAAGGGTCTTCAGAGCCTGCTTTATTTGTCTCTTGTTGGCTTTAACATCAACGATGAAGACAAGCGTGTTATTTTCCTCGATTTTCTTCATGGCGCTTTCAGTGTTCAAGGGATGGACGATAATTTTGTGGTGGTCGAGGCGGGTTTCATGAGGAATGGACTTGCGCGGGTACTTGGGCGCCCGCGAGAGCTGGAGGGTTTTTGGCCGGTGGAAGGTTGTTGATGTCCGGATCTTACGGACTTTGTGCGAGTGAACCTGTTGCAGCGCGGAGTATCAGTACAATGCTCGGGATTCTACGAGTCGGCTCGAAACGCGCATCTGTATCATGCGGGAAGAATAATGGACGTACACCCTTAAGCACCGCCTTCGCAGCGGCACCAGCTTTGGCGCTGGGCTTTGCGGCTATATTGTTTGCAAAAGAAAAGGTCAGCATATCTTGTTCCTCGGGAGTAACAATGATTTAAATGAACCCCCATGTTTCCATCTGGCGCGCCTGCTCCTCAATCCGTCTCATCCATCCTCAAAGTAGAGATCCAATTACTTCCCCCTCTCCCAAACTCTCAACATCAAATCTCACAGAACAGAAATAGCACGGGTGAATCCGTATCTCACCTTTCTTGTTATCAGCCTTGGGTGCCATGTCTGTCGATTGGCGGTGTTAGTTGGTGGTTGTCGATGTCGTGCTGGTCAATTCCATCAACGGAACCTATCTTTCATCTTGTGTTGGACTCTCTCGCTTAGTTTGAAAACCCTACGATTCTGTGCGTCACGTGAAAAAATAAATGTGCACTTTTCCCGAAACGGGAATCAGCCAACATCAAAAAGATTTCAAACTTCATCAAACAACATGTTATGAACAAATTGAGAATTCGAGGCGTTGTTTAGCAGGCAGAAAGGGAGGGAAAGAAATGGGGCATTGCCCATCACAATGTGGCATCCATAGCAATTTTTTCACAATTGCCCTCCAACAAGGACTTGGTTTACAGATATGACAAAGACGAGCCACAGCAAGACCAATATCTAAAAGAAGAACACCCGGCTCCATCTCCCATGGTCCGTCCACCAACCGCCATCATAATACCCGCCGCGTCCCTTTTCAGCTAAAGCAACACGCACCTTGATTCGTGCTCACCACCAACTCCACAAAGCCCGTGCCCGCGCTGTGGCAGAGAACAACGAAGCTCTTGTGCGGGACTTGGACAGGCAAATTGCCGCCCATGGCGGACTCGAGAGTTACCAGCTAGCGAGCAAGAAGGGTCAGTCGAAGGAGCGGGGTGGTGATTCCAGCAAGGTACTTGTGGAGTGGTTGGCGCCTGTGTTTGAAGAGCTGAACCTGCAGCGGCGGAAGCCGCAGAATCAGGGTGGTGGTGCTAGTGGTGCTAGTGGTACCGGCGATGGAAAAGGTGACCCAAAAGCTGAAAAGGGAGAGGAGAAGCCGCGACGGCCACCGCCACTACGGTTACTCGAAGTTGGCGCGCTAAGCACCTCAAACACCTGCTCCCGCGTTAGCTTGCTGGATGTCATCCGCATTGACCTTCACTCGCAGGAGAAGGGCATCCTACAGCAGGATTTCATGGAACGTCCATTGCCCACGTGCGACGAGGAAAAGTTCCATATCATCAGCCTATCGCTGGTGTTGAATTATGTCTCGAATTCAGCGAGCAGGGGGCAGATGCTGAAGCGGACAACGGCGTTTTTGACGCCCCCGCCGCCGCTTATTGCGACGACAGGAGATGCAGCATCAGAAAATGCGCCAGATGAACAGTCTAATAATAGCGCGCATTTGCCATCTCTATTTCTCGTTTTGCCGGCAGCATGTGTGCTCAATTCCAGGTATTTTACTGAGGAGCGGTTGCGGGCCCTCATGTCAAGCCTGGGGTATGAAATGGTGCAGAGGAAAGTGACGTTGAAGCTTGTGTATTACCTTTGGAAGTACAGTGTCGATGGTGTTCCTAGGGCTTCTGTTTTTAAAAAAGAGATTCTGAACCCCGGTGGGAATAGGAATAATTTTACTGTTACTCTGGATTAGGTTTGTTGAGACAATGGTGGTGAAACATGTAATGTATACGTCAATATAAAGTATATTATTATTTAGAAAAATTTGTACATGGTCGGTTAATGGGAGGATTCCTGATATCTATTCGTTCCTTACATATTTAACTTATATAGTACAACCGTGAGTGTTAGTCGCTATCAAGAAACATTTCATGATAATACATTAGCATAAACTATAACAAACCCAAAACTTTTTATTTTCCACCCGTGTCTCATTAGGACCATCGTCGTCGATATCATCATCATAATTCACCAAGTAAACCGAACAAACTCCTCATAAAAAGAACGAAATTATGTTATACCATACCCCTCACCAACATTGCAAAACCTCGCTTCGCATCCCCAGCAATATACACTCCCCATGGATAAACCACCCCTACCAAACCTCATCTCAACCCAAGATTTTCCTTGGGAATAAACGCCCACGCTGTGCCCACAACAGCCATAACCGAACCAACGCCTAACAACACCCAATCCACAACCCTTTCCCAAAACAGAATACTCCTGCCGAAGATCTTCAAATAAAATGCAACAGGCAAGATGATACAGATCGTAATACAGAGACTTGCGCCGATGAGCGCCATGATGCGGTCGAAGTACGGGAAGACGATGGCAATGAAGGTGATTATGCAGATTGTGACGATGCGAGCTGTGAATTGAACGGTTTTACGGAGGAGGGCACTCGAACCTTGCTTACTCGTGTTCCTTAGCTTGTTTTTGCGATTGGGATTTGGCGGGGGTGGGTGGAGACCACAGAGGGATTCGACTGTGCTAACTAGGGGGCGGCAGCTGGCGTACGAGTTGTGGTTAATTTGACTTGCTATTTGGCCAGTTCAAAACTTAAAAAAGGGTGGGCTATGGGGGCTATGGGTGGTAAATAGGAGGATATCATTTGTTACCTGAGAGGTACTTTGGTCAACGGGATGATTGCGATGAATGCAACGATGCAAACTGATAACCAGTTGGGATATCCGGCCGTTAGGAGAATGTTGGATGTGATTTCGTCTCTGACATCTGGACCAAACATGAGCCAGCCGGCCACGGCCATAGCAAGGTCTAGCAAAAACTATGTCGAGTTAAACGTTTTAGCATACTTTCGATATTTTTGGGACTGTAGAACGAGAAGGAGAAGGAGGTAGTTGGTGGGCAGTCCACTAACTGTGAAGATGTAGGTTATCCAGAGACTCTCGCCGTACTTATGTGGGTGTCTCATGTCTTTATAGATATTTGGGAAGACGCTGTGGCCGCCCCAAGGAGCTGAAAGAATATGGCATGTTTAGTGCAACAGATTCAGGAATTACCCAAAGCCAGAGAGTTGGTAAGACTTATACTTACACATAATTAATCCAAATGAAAGTGGAACAGCGCTCCAGTTGTCAGGGAGAAGTGATGTCCGTGCAGGATCACGAAGGGAGCCCGGTGACTCCGTTTTGATAATGCCATCAATAAAAATGATCAGAACAACTTTTATTTTGTTAGTTCTATAGCGCTAATCCAAAAGTTTTACTTACGAGGGCAAGGGTGGTATACGGCATATCTCGATAAAACTTACTGGAAGTACAACACAAAATCCCTAAAATACTGGACAAGCTTAGCAGCCGCAGCGGCACGAAGTTCATGGGAATTAAGATTGCACCACATATCAATTTCCACCGCAGGGCGCCTAGCCCCGGGAACAACGCATCAATGCTATCAGCAAATAAAACGACCAAAGCAACACATGCACCCATCAGCTCCAAGCAGAAGAGTAAGCTGGTGACGATACGTGCATGAGGGCCAAAGCTGATATACGCCAGGTCAGCATATGTAACGAGGGTGGGATCGACATCCATGCATTTGGCAAGGATTTTGGCCGTGTACGTGGTAGATACTGCCGAAAAGATGAGGAGCAAGATACCGATGAACCAACCCGCATACATGAGGCCTAGTGGTAAACTAAGCAGGCCAATTCCGATAAGGACGTTGACGGAGTTGAAAATTGTCTGGGGAACGGTGGATTGGCCAACAATGATGGTTTCCTTGGAGCCGTCCTCGTGTTGAATGCGCTTGACGACGAATGGTTCGCGTTCATCATCGGATTCCGCCGCCACAACCGCACCTGCTTCGAGGAGCTGGTGTTCTCTATGAAGCTGTGCAGCGTTTAGTCTGGCAGACTCGCTAATTCTGGAAGAAACTGTCGTTAAATACGACTCCTCGTAACTTCGTCCTAGAAGCGGTGTAGTGCGGGTAGATTCATCGAACTCGCCATCCGTGAGCGGTCGTCCGTAGGTAGTTTCCTGCCTGGTTCCATAGTTGGGCCAATAATCTGCCTCGCTAAAAGGGATCTCTGATATTCGTTCAACAGGCGCCGAGCGTTGGCGCAGAAGGGCAGTGGTGTCATCTACGGATGCATCAGGGCCATGTTCCTCATCACCTGGCAACGCGAGGACGAACGAGGATCTACGAGGAGCGACTTCTGGAAAATAAGCAGCCCGCTGCCACGAACGGGCAAAATTATCCAAGCTATTAGGCGCGCCAGTAACTGGATAATTCCTTGTGGATATCTCCGCCGCCCTAAAAACGTAGTTAGTAGGGGAATATCTCAAAGCTTTTGCAATATAGGAGGATATGCTATGTAATATGAAGAGACAAGAGAATTAAAATATATACCATCGTCTTCGTAGATCATTGTCATTGGCTTCATGTTGTAGGATGTTTCTAGGGGTCGAAGAAGCGGATGGAGATGGTTGGGAGTACGGGTGTGATGACGAGCCGCGGCCTGCCATGGTTGAACTTGGACTGGACGCGACAGGCCGGGCCAGGCCAGGGCTGTGCCGTGCTGTGCTGCTCTGTCACCTGCAACTGTTTATAGGATATTGTGAAAACATGCGCAGGCTACACGATGAAATAACGACGCGGGATATCTAGGGTATCTAGCAACGAAGTGAGGAGGAAAAGAGAGAGACGGACGAAATAAACTTTGTCGAAACAGAGACTTGTCAAGGCAGGATCGGACAGATAGCTATCGACAAAAGGAAAGAAAAACACAGTCCTTGAAGGAACAGTGTTTCTGTCCAGAGATATATTTGTATTTTAAGGATGGTGGCAAGGTCCTCTCACAAGCCGATCAAGACGAAGGGAATATTTATTC